CCATCAATATCCGGCAGTTTTGAGCTTCATCGATTATCATCGTTGATGCTTTCTCAATATCTTCAGGATCCACTCCTTCTGGTGCTTCAATACGAGATAGTGCATCAGCTGCAGCATTCAGCTTTCCCGGATGGTACAGAATTTTAGCGCCGAAAGACTGAGCAGTTAAGGCCCATCTGGTGACACGTGCATTACCATCCTTATGGAAAAGCCACTGCAAAGAGCGATTATCCGACATGACAATCACTTCTAATCCCCATATAAGAGGTTTAAACTTCTTCAAAGCCTCGATTACAGCGAGCGCTTCTTTCTCCATCACATCATAGCGAAGCTCAGCTCCTCGAAGCTGGCGACTGAAATATGACACAGGGCAAAAGTGTCCGTCATACCTCTGTGCTAAAATGGCACCAATAGCTCCCTTACTGGCATCAGTAGAGATGTACCACGTTCGTGAGAAGTCAGGAGATCTCAACACTGGCTCCTTTAGTAGACTTCTCTTCAGCACTTCAAATGCTTCCTTGTTCACTTCCCCAAATGAAAGGTTGTTTCTCTGAGGTCAACTTTGTAAGAGGTTGGGCCTTTTGGGCATATTTCTCTATGAATCGTCTGTAATACCCAGTTAGACCAAGAAATCGTCTTACTTCACGTCGATTTTTGGGTGTGGGAAAGTCTTTTACAGCAGCTAACTTGTCTAGCGCCGCTTTAACTTCCCCATGCCCTACACGATGCCCTAAAAGGTTTATTTCTTGTTGGAATAATCGTGTCTTCTCAGGACTAGCCTTTAGTCCAGCCTTTATCAACCGACCCAGTGCTTCCTTCAGTACCTGTAGATGCCTATCAATATCATCCGTGTATATAGCTATGTCGTCTAAGAACAACTGCAACCCTTGTCCGATTTGGCCACTGAAGACTCGGTTCATGAGGCGTTGGAACGTTCGAGGTGCATTAGACAGACCAAACGGCATCACTGTGTACTCGAAATGTCCTTCATGGGTGGTGAAGGCTGACTTCGGTATTGAGTCGTCATCCAGTGGTACTTGATGGTACCCGCTACGCAAGTCAAGCGTCGAAAACCATTTGCTCTGACTGACTTGGTACAGGATGTCTTCTATCAGTGGCAAAGGGTAGAACTCAAGCTTGTTTGGCTGTTCAAAGCCCGGTAATCTACACAGAGCCGAGGATGCGATTTGTCCTTTCTCTTCACTAGAACAATTGGTGCATTCCATTCAGAAGAACTGACTCGAATATGGCCTTGCTCCTTCAGAGCCTGGACCTCTGCTTCCACAGCAGGTCGTAGAGCATATGGGATGAACCTAGGTGGAACATATACTCGATCACTGTCGCCTGTCTCTATCTTGTGCTCAACAAGATTGGTTCTTCCTAAAGGTTCCTCTTTAAGGTTGAATGCCTCTTGGAATTCCCATATCATGGACTCTGCTGCTTTGCGTTGGTCTTCCTTCAGGATCCAGCGATCAGCGTCCAGTGCTTTCAGAAGTTTCTGGAAGCGCTTCTCATCATACACTGGCCCGTTTTTCACCACACAACATGGATCAATTTGAAGAGCTTGATCCAGGGGATCCTCTTCCTCTACATCATCCGGTTTCACCTCAGTGACCACGGCATTGATGCTCATCCTTGTGAGAACTCGTTGTTTTTTCCCAGTGGTCGGTCGGTAAACGTCCCAGCTGCTCCTCTTCATCATCTTGGATAGACACAGCATTGGCAATGGTTCTCTTGCTATGAACCAAGAACGGTGTGCGACCGAAGTTGCAGACCAAGACTTTCACAACATCTTCTGCCTTGGCTACCACAGGGATAACGATACAGTTCTCTCCCAACGGTAACCCACTGATTAAAATCGAGGTTCCGTTTTTGAGTCTCTCGTCCTTCTGCTTAAGGCTCCCTAAAATGATGGATGCCTTCCCAGCAGGAAGGGTGTAAACCCCAGTAGAGACTATTACAACTGTGTCCTCTTTGTCGGCAACACTGTTGAATGCCACATCAGAAGAACAGGTCATCGGTGCATCTCCACAGTTAGCGTTAATTGGTTGATCAACCACTCCAGCTATGTCATGCACCTGTTTATCATCGATGGGGGTAGGTAGGCACTCCACCAATGGCTTTTGTTTAAGATGAACCCTCCAATACTGAAAACTTAGATCCAGCTTGTGAGTCCTCATAAAGGCCGTTCCAATAAGCAGATCACAATTACCTGGGAAATGGATTGCATGATCCTCGAATACAAAACAATCACCAGTAAACTGCTTTCCCCCAATAATGAAAGTCATCTTGGCCAGTCCAAGTGCTTTCACTGGTTCTGCATCAAGGATACCACTTACTGTCACGTTATGGGGAACTAGCGGAGAAGGTACGTCTCTTTGTCTCGTAGAGTCCTTCTTCTTCACGTCCTCATGTGCCCGATAAAGTGATAGTTTGACCAGATTGGGTTTTGCACCAGAGTCCCACACAGCGACAAAACTTCTGTCATTCTGTGGTACAAACACTTCAGTCATCATATATTCTGGAGGTGGTGGTCCTAGCATGGGAATGCGATAGTCCACGGTCTCCTCCATTCTCTGGTGTCTCCCTTCCTCTACTCCGTGTTGCCGTCCGTCTTGGACGGCTTGGCTCCGTTTTTTGAAGCCAATAATTTCTCGACGTCCTTTTGGATTGGGCATTCGGCTCGCCGATGTCCTTTCTTTTGACACAGGAAACATGTCATCATGCTAGATGGATTGCCCTTTTTCTCTCTCCTCTGCGGCTTATCTGCCGCCAGTGTTGAAGAAGTTTCGGCTGCTTTCAGCTTATAGCAATCCTCCTTTCCATGCGTCTTATTCCAGCCATGTTCTGGACAATGAAACTTTTTTCCTCCGTTCGCTTTCATGGATCGACTTTCTGTTTTTACAGCACCGACTCTGGTTTTCATGGGCTGGTTTTTCTTCCCCGGGCTTAACTTAGTTTGGAATTGTTGGTCGAGTAGAGGATTATCCTCCATCCAAATTCCAATTTCTTTAATCAAGTCGGCAGCATCCATGGAGTTTAGACGGTCATGGTCCCATTTTTCCGTCCCTTCAATCCGATATTTCGCTACGGCTTTTCCGACCATATGGTCATAGAGAGTATCCATCACAATATTCAGCCAAATTCCGTCAAATGGCCAATGTTTCATCAGCATGCAGTCTAGTCGAAGAGCCTTTGGTGTCTTGGCCCATTCTTTGTATGTCTCACCCCTCTTTCTCTCTGCTTCTCGAAGGATACGGTTCCAAGGTTTTCTTCCTTCACTAAACCGAGAAAGGATCATCTTGCTGAAACGTCGGTAGGGGACTCCTTCAGCTCCCACCTCATGTGCATACACTCTAGCGGGTCCTTTCTCCGTGTGAACGTACCCAAGGCGAACAATGTCTTGTCTATTTCTCCCGTAATGTTACGCCTTTTCATTTCTGCTTCCACCCGGGCAAGCCATTCCCCACCGGTGAGGCCCTCTTCCCCACCCGTAAACATGGGAACACTCTTGTCCCTGGTGAATACTTCCATTGTACTGAACTGTCTCGTAGTTCCAGCTTGGCTCGGTGCTTCATTAGCCGTGGTTTCAGCTGATTGAGCCTCGGAAGTGTCTTCTGTTGCAGCTCGATGACTGCGAGATTGCATCTCCACCACTTGCTGCAATTGTGCAGCTAAGCCGCGCATTTGTTCCTCTAAAAGCTC